TTATAATATTAATGTCACGAAATTTTTGTTAGGCCAGTCATTTTTTTTTTTTTTTTATATCCCCAGTTATATAAAAGCTAGCATATATTCATAAATTATGAAATGTAATGATGCCTCAAATGGCCTTTTCCGTAATGCTCGATTGTAATCATAAAGTGATTAATAATTTGTTGTATACAATAATCGTTTAATGTTAACAGAAAGAGGTAAGGCTCACTCGCCATTAATAGATTACTTATTGTTAGTATGGTTTAACAAGAAGTTTATAAAACAATAAAAATGTCAGTACTCAGTGGACACAAAATTTGATGCACTACAACTTTGATTCTATGGGCTTTTCCTCTTTGGGAACTCATTTCCAAGTTACAGGGTCATTTATAGTAATTGGTATAAAGGTACAAACTTGAACACTTAAACAAATTATGAATTTTATGTAGTAGTTCGACGCACAATTTAACGTTCTTTAATTTATTGGATAATATTTTTTTTGGTTTTATGCATAGTTTAGTACAAAAAAAATATCGGAAAAATCTTATTTTTTTGGCTGTTGAAACTTTGCCATTGGTGGCCCGCGTTAGCAATTTTGTTTTCTACCTGTCTGAACCCGTATATCCAAGTTAAAAATATAAAACCTTTTTCCAAACTTTTTGAAAAGAATATACCGTTTCGATCCTCAAGTCACTGGCCTAATATTCTTTAAATAGGCCGCCATTTTTTAAAGCAGCTGCTCTGGAACGGCAGACAAGGTTCTTTTTACTTATAATAACATATACTTTTGCAATTTACAATCAAATCTTCGCCTGCGATGAGGGCGATTTTTGCGCCCTAGCTCCAGGGCTATAACTAAAAATAAAGTCATGTGGGAACGCACACATAACTGGTTTTTTATCCAGACCTCCTTCTGATGGGCATGCCAGCTATGTTTTATTTATTAATTTATTTTAATTTTTTTCTTAAACTTATAGGGTGTGTTCTAATTAATTTATTCCTAGATTAAACGATGATCCCTTTTAATTTATTTTAAGAGAGGGATGGAGAATTGTGAGTAGTCTAGTTATTCATAGTTATAGAATTTCTTTTTCTAGTGACGGGGCTCACTAGTGTCCTGTAAATGTCAATTGATTTTCTCAGTCAAGTAATAGGTTTTTAATGTAAGTCTGGCACCTAATAGGTTTGTGACTAACTGTATTAAAAAGTGGGTTTGTCGAACATTTAAGGCTATCTCAAAGAATTTTATATGCCTGCGTATAATAAAGCTATGTCGTTTATAATTCTGTTGTGTAAGTGTAGTTTATTATGAAATCGGGAATAAACGTATGTGTTGTGTTGTAAGTCGGTAGGAAAAGTTTTGTTATTTATGTACCCAGGAGCTGTCGCTATCAGCCTTAAAATCTCGAAATGAAATTATTGTAGCTCTATGGAAATTATTGAATAATAAACGAATTAAAATGACTTGGAAACCCTCATTGTAGACATATTAGAAGCTAATGTATTTGCCGGATCGATATCGACCAGGGGCATTAGTCACAGTACTCCGGGACCCGCAATGTTTATTTGTTAGCAAGGTCGGGTATTCAGCTGTCCGCGAGGGGCCCATATTTTCTCAATCCGCTATCCTGTACTTACTGATTAAGTTAATTTACTAAAGCGTTTAGATACTGTCTCAAGAATTAACAAATGTATAAATCATATTGTTGAAAGTTCCTTTATTATTTCGTTGTTTATAGATCGTTAATGTTAAATATAGGGCAAACGTTAGCTGTAATGGAGATAGGAGAAATCATAAATCATCAACTTACCTCGACAGCTTCCATATTGTAGAACATATTTATTAAGTATCGTTATTCTTCTTCTTTTTAGATCAAAAAATGTTTAAAAAAAAAAGAATTCTTGAAAAAGTGAACCATATAATTACATTAAAAACGAGAAAGAAAAATGACGTTAGTACATTTATTGATCCAAAGCTGCTATTTAATTGACAGTGAGCAAATCGCTTGATTTGCGTAATAATAATACGTAAAGCATAAGGAAGAATAATTCCCAACGAAGTTTCCTTTTGAAGGTACCATTTTGCTGGTAGTATCCACCGCGCCAACTGTTAGCAGCCAAGTACTGCTTTGATGGAATAGAAAGGATCCTGTTTCGTTGGCACTACTCAGCAGTCCAGGTATGACATCATATCGATACCGCTCCTTTCTGACCCCCCCCCCCCAGGGCACTAAAGCTATTGCCAGTACAGCAGTTTTGATTATTGATTATTTTCTTCTTTTTTTTTTAAAAAAAAGTCAGGCAAAATTAAATGAAAAATAATTTAAAATCTAAACAAAGCAATAGTAAATTGTTTTCAAAAGTTTAAAGTAAAAAAGATTGTTTATTGCACCAAAAATAATTTACAGAGGAATTCAAATTAATTAATAACAAAAAACTGTTAATCTCAGATAAATGCTAAACCAGACATTGAATAATCAATTTGACTTTTTTTATTAAAGTGCTGATACATACATAGACTGATTGCTTATTGATTAAACGGTAAAACATTGTGTGCTGTGATTTTATAATAAATATGATTATAGAAGGAAATGGCGAAGAAACAATTTTTGACTTAGGGACATTGTTTGTATTAGTAAGGAGGTAAACATATTAAATGTGCCACTCTTAGGTGTTGAGGCAGATGTGGAGGGAGACACAGGAGGATCTACAGGGGGCAAGGGCTTTCGGGCTGAAGCCCCCCCCCCCCCTCAAAATGGTAAAACATAACCATGTTTTACAGAAAAAAATATTAAAAACTATCTCTTAAAGTATTCTTGTCCGTGTAATTACATTTAATAAGACTTCAAGAATCCGCTAAACACCATTTCGTATAGTGACAAACTTAATTTCTTCCTTTTTTTTATAATTAATTAGCGTTATATGTATATGAAAAAAAAAATTCCGGGCTGTTGCCCCCCCCCCCAAAAAAAAATTAAATCCTGGATCTGCTATTGGAGAGAGAGAGAGTGTGAGCGTACAAAATCACTTTTTTTTCGAGTTTTCGCTTATATCAGGAAAATTATCCATCGCATTGACAAATATGTTCTGTACAAAATTAACTGATAAAATTTGATCATACACCTTTTTTCGCTATCTCGTTTAGTTTCTGTGTTATCAGTCCTCAACTATGGATAATTTTGGAGAAAAAATAAATGCCTGATATTTATTGCTGTATTTGACTAGCTAACTCTTGATTGCTTCGTTCAATGAATAATTCAGGAGAAAGAAAGTTTTTAAAAATCAAATTTTCTTCATGAATATATATTATTTTACTAGTTTATCTCCAACGGTTCAAAAAATAGATCTGTTATATCTTTATATGTCCATTCCGTGAATTTGCAGAAAACAAAATATTTTTTATAATATGCGTTATTTTATATATATATATATATATATATATATATATATATTATATTCATACGTATAAACGTATACGGGGTGTCCCGTAAGTAGAGGGAAATTTTTATAGGAGTAATAGCAGACCTCAAACCCCACAAAAAGGTTCATTTAGGCAATACACAACATAAACGTAGGAAATCCAAGTTTTTTTTTTTAAATAAGTCGTGCTTTTAAGCGATATCTAAAGAAATATTTAATTTAAGTAATTAAAAATTGTTTCACTGTAAACTAGATAAAATTTTCTTCAAATGGAAATAGAATTTATCATTGTTAAAACCATTTAAAGTGAATTTTTGAACCTCTAAACTTGGCTAACTTTTAAAAAAAATTATAAATTATTGGCGATTTTGTTTTATAATTATGTGAATATACTTCAGATACCCCACTTCTAGAAAAACTTCTCCGTTTAATACGCTTCAATTTCTTATTAATTAAATAAGATTTTTAGGCAAATTCTTAAGATGCACAAGTTGTTTAAAGAAATGTTGTCAACTTCTATCCAGTCACCAAATAGTGCTCGTGTTCTCAGCAAATATGACTACAATTTCCTGTTCAAAAGCTATTAGTTATTGATTTTCATGATCTGGACTTTATTTTACTAAAGATAATTGCCTAAGTACACTTTTTATTTATATATAATAATAGTAATGATTAATTAAATATTTTTCATGCAAAGTATTTACGAAACTGTACTTTTCTCCCAGATTTCTCTCATCGGCATTATCAGTGACTAACTTAATGTTTCTACTCCTAAAATTTAAGTTTGAAACAAAAAAAACCCTGCTTATTCCTTCAATTATTTTCATAAAAACGTAAATCTTAGGACTAGAAACATGAAGTTTGTCACTTATATATAAGAATCAACTCCTTTGATAGAGATCTGGGAAAAAAGTACAATTTCGTAAATACTTTACATGAAAAGTATTTAAAAATCATTATTATTGATATGTTTTATTAGGAAATTATTTCTATTATAATATATTCCGAATCATAGAAAATAAGAAATAAAAGCTTTGCAACAGTTAATTGTAGTCAATTTTGTTGAAAACACAGATATTTTAGGTGACAAGATGAAAAACTACAACATTTCTTTACACAACTTGATAATAGGTGATTCTCTAGAATTTGCCTAACAAACTTCAATTCAATATGGACTTGAAGCTAATTAAACGGAGAAGATTTTCTATATGCGCGGTATCTGTAGTACAGTTAAATAATGATAAAAAAAAAAACCGCTATTGATTTTTAAAAAAAACTATCTTAGCCAAGTTTAGGCGCTCAAAAGTCCTTTTTAAATGGGTTTTAATAATGACAAGCTCTATTTTCATTTGAAGAAAATTTCATCTAGTTTACAGTGAAATAGTTGCCAACTACTTAAATTAACATGACTTACTTAAAAAAACACTAAACTTTGATTTCCTACTTTTCTGATGAGAATTGACCCATTGCCTATTTTTTATAGGCCTTAAGATCTGCTATTATTACTCCTATAAAAATTTCCTTTATTCTACTATGATATTTATATTTACAGACAGTTAGAGCAATACAATTTCTTAGAGAATGGTACTCACCACGTTGTCGAGGAGCTCCTTAAGCCTAGCCTGCGGAGTGAGTCCCTTCTTCGGCCGGATGAGGAGGTAAACGGTGTCGATGCCAGGACATGACCGGAGGAGCTTCTCCACTAGGGCCTTACCCACGAAGCCCGTTCCTCCGGTGACTAAGATACACCCGCCCCTGTAGAAGGCTTCTACCGAGCCGTTACGGTCGCTGTTGTTGTTTGTGTCGTTTTCCATCCCTCAGAACATCGGCTGCAACAACAAAATAATACATCTGTTTTAGACAAATTTTATATACTCCTATTCCATATCATGAACCTTAATAACTTTCAAGGTGAAATGTTTTATTCAAGAAAATTTTCGAGACAGAACTCTCAGACGATTCAAAGATAATTTCATCCGCATGTGTTTTTTTAATATTCGTATTAAGTGAAAGAATTGAAGAATTACATTTTAGAAATATGTGACATCAATTAAACTACTATCATAAAAATCAATAAATTCATGGAAGATTGTATGATCACAGAAGTTACGATTCTCTCATTGGCTTGCTGTGGAAAAAAAAAAAAAAAAACAGTTTTATTCAAGGAACACAATTTTTTTTTTAAATTTATTTACTGTTCAATGAAGTTATAGCTAATTTTTTAGTAATTATAAGCAATATTTAGACTCTAGTTTCTGTATACTTAATTTAGTTATTACTCAATAGTGAATTAACATTTTTAGTTATTTAAGTGCTTAAAAATCATTTTCTAGAAATCTAATCTGTTAATCTGTAGTACATGAATGTAATCACATCAGTTAAGTCTCAAAACGTTACCAAATTATAGTTGCATATTTATTGACTGTACCTCAAATATATATATATATACATATATATAAATAAATAAATATATATATATATATATATATATATATATATATATATATATATATATTTATTTATTTATATATATATATAGTTGATTCTCATAATGTAATGATAAATTATATTTGGAAATGAATAATAAATTTTCAAAAAAAGAGCATCTGAAAGAAACTCATCAGTTACTACACGTATATATTTATATGGAATATTTATTATTTAGTGCAAGATAATGCTTTAAGATGGAAATCCATTCATCTCTAAATTCAGATGTTTCGGAGTACGTGATGTTATGAGGTGTAACATTTCAAAAAGTTCAAAACCGTGAGAATGAAGAGGTGGAATAAGTGAAAGTCTAAGGAAGAGTTCCTTAAGCTCAAAACATCCTTTTAAAAGGATATACGTAATATGGCTCTTATGCAGGATTTTGCGATATACGCTTTAGAAATGACCAATTATATATTATTTGAAGTTGCTTACAAGATTATATTTATTAAATATAGGTTTTTTTAAATTATTTGCTTTGCATTTCATGTTTACATTAAGTATATAAAATTTAATAAAAATAATCAGCTAATTTCACAAATCATCAACCAATGGTGATGTGTGGGAAATTAATCAACTAGTGGCTACAACTTGGCAAGGAGTAATACCACCGAAAGATTTAAATTATTTATAAATACAAATAATTGTATGTTTTGGTGCATTCGGTGGAAATAAAAACGTGTGGCCATGTCATTTATGAGTATGTTGGGGTATCCGTATAATTTTTAATGGAATCGTTTCTAATGGGTTCGTATGTGTTCACTCGCATGTGAATATCAGTTGATGTAAGATTGTGTTGCTTTTATAATTTATCTGCTTTTATAATTGATCTGAATATTTTTACTTGAAAGATTTAAAGTTTGTCCAATTGTAAGAGAGTATTTTTAGCTGTTCCAAATATCTGTTATGCGTAAGTTCAAAGTTCATTTTTAGAGCAGTGCTTATGAATATAATATCCTTTTCATAAACAAAATAAATATACAAAAACAAATCTAAATAATAAACTGACGTCTCTAACTGATTCATTAATAAAGGTCGCGCTTGGGAAGGCATCAATACAAAATTCATGCTATATCGCCCTCATTTCTTAACTAAGCATACAATCCCAGGTAGTTGAGATCGATATCGTAATATAAGATGAGTTTCGGCTAATATAATGCAAAAATAAAAGAAAACTCCTAATCCAAGAGGTTTCAAACAATATTTCATCTAATTGAAGAGAAGAGGACTTGGGATGATCAGTCAAAACAGTAAAAAAAATAAATAATCATATTTATTTTTATTTTTGCCAACATTTCTGCCCAAAGTTCAGGCCTTCATCAGGGCTGGTCTAGCGACTCCTCTTCGTTTGACAAGCTCCGATGAAGGCAAGACATTTGGACTGAAACGTCGGAAAAATAAAAATAAATGTATTTATTTATTTTTACTAATTTTATTTTTTTTTGACTGATCATTCCAACCACTCTTCTCTTCAATTGTTTACTAGTCAACCATCAATCCACTATAATTCATATAATTATCCACATAAGAGTCTATTAGGCTCTGAACAGTAGACAAAATGATACTTAAATAACTATTACAAATTAAAACTAAAAAAATATATAAATGATAAAAAGTAGAGTTAAGTTATACGAATTACTGAGTTGTATACATGTTATTGAAGAACCATTTTTGTATTTATTTATATCCTTTCCCATTACCGGCCTTAGGGTGAGGCAATCCAAGCAATTGTCCCGGAGCGGCGACCAAGCATTCCCCACTTGTTAAGAATTAAAAAATATAAAATAACTTATAAATAAAAATAAGAGACATAATTTCTTACTTAAACCCAGTTGGTATAACCTGAAGTTATTAAGCAAATATTAGTCTAAAAATTATTCTAATATTTCAAAACAATAAAGTTTGTTTCAGTTTGTATTGTTATAATGCATGGATGTTTTGTGTATAATTAATGTAGCAACGTACAAAGATTAATCATGGAGATCCTCGGTCCTTAATTCGGAGTTCGGAGAAATATCTCAGGTCTGCTAGGACAAGAGAAAAGAAAAGAGAAATTAAATGTTTGCAAACCGATATGACCGGGGTTTGCTAATACCGTCATATCATTTTGACTAGAATATAGGTGGAATTGCATAGCTAGACTAATTGGTGCACAATTATCTGATATTACTAATAATGCCTTCATGATAGAATTTTAATAAAATTTTCAACTATACATTAACTGAATGCATTAAATTATATAAATTATAAATTTGTGTGTATGTATAAAGTATATAGTAAAACTCACTATATAAAGATTATGGTAATAATTCTTCATAGCTGACAATTCTGTGTGATTACAATTTGTCTGCTATAGATACACGTCCGTTATAGATAACCTGATATGATAAAATGATGAGATATTGAAAATTAGTGGATCATAATATTATTTCCAGAATCAATGTTCAAATTATTCATTTGGACTCATACTAGAAGTAATGGTTTATTTTTTTTTTTCCTTTAAACATGTGTCCATAAACTGTAGTTAACAATCAGCAAATGAACTGAATGTATAACGACATGTAAGGCATGGGGAAGGAAGGAGTATTGAACCTCGGAAAAACTCTTAGTTAGATTGAACAAATTGAGGAAATTTCCGTGCCCTAGGATGAGATAAATCTTTTGAAGAGGAAAGGTAGATACGTTCAAAAAGAAGAGACTGGTGCCAGACTTGGTCAAACGTCTGAGCGACAAAAATATCCCATTTGTATAACGTTTTAGTTTTAGTGCTACAGCAATAAAGTCAGTAACTCTGAGTTGTAATTGATGAGTTTTCACTAGTCGTATAACTTGTGAAATTAGTAAATGGTTTTAACACAGATGAATGGCGGTTTGCGAAGAGTTCAGATTTTCCCCATCCAACACCGTCCAGGATCAATCTTCTTTTCGAAAAGGTGCTGATACCCCTCGGTGTTTTAATAGCTCTTTGATATGCTTCCACAAACATGTTTCGTTTGTCGAATTTCGTTTTAAAATTTAAAAATATTTATTACAGAGCTTGCAGATATTTAACAAACCTTCTTCATTTCTGCCTATCTTGGGCTATTTCTTTCCAATTATCTTCATCCAGCTCTGTTCCACCTTAGCTGATTCGATCTATCCATCGGCATTTTGATCTTCACTTGGTCTTTTGCCTACTGTTGAAGCATTAATAGTGCAGAAGCTTCTAGATGGATTGCTCGGAGCTACATGCCTCACTCATCTTAACCTCTTTGCCTTCATATCATGAGAAATTGATGAATCTGTTTCTGCAAACAGTTTTTTATTGGTTAATTTAGCAGCTCTTTCTCCAACATAAGTTAGTACTCTGATCTCAGATCGCTCCAAGTATCGTACGGAAAATTTTTCCCTCGAATGTTTTAATACTTCTTTCTAGAGTTCTGGTTAAATCGGGTCCAGGTACTCAGTCGTATATCTGAACTGGCTTGTTGACACTTGTTGTTGTCGACCTTTACGAGTAAGTACACAAATGAGCAATGATAAAAGTAAACTCGTATATATTTGTGTTGTATGAACATCTTGTTTTCAAAATTAATTTGAAGAGACGGTATCAGTGTTACTTCTTTTGATAATAATAAATAAAACAAACGAAGCCACTTTGATCCAATGCTTTATAGGAAACATTGTGACGTGTTTTAAATTTTTCTACCTAGCCGGCTGGAAGCCATAAAATGATTTTGACCTAAATGATTCTTAGATATTAGGTATCTTTACCATTCTGAAGTTTCATGATTTCTATCCCTTGAAATGTTACATACGTGTAGGATTTATAATTTTGAATCGAGCAGATAATTGGTAATATATGTATATATATATTTATAAAGTACATACACTTGGTTTTATGCTCGGAAGTCTTCTGTACAATTGCAGCTAAGATCACAAACCGGAAACATTTTATATTCTCACCGCTCAGAAGAAAATTTCTTATGACTGAAGTAGCCTGTGATATAGTTGGATACGCTTTGTGAAAGTTCGCCGGATAAAAGAACTTGCCTTGGAAAGCTAGGCAAGGTTGAGTGATCAACTGAAGCGATAGATTGCCAACTCATCGGATCAGTGTTGGTACTCAGTTTCACTAAGCTACAAATAATATGACGAAAAAAGTAGTTAAATTAAATAAATTAAAAATGCACCATTCCACACAGTGCTGAAATTAAGAACAACATTTTATTTTTCGTTATACAACTTGATAAATGTCTGAAGCCTTATCACAAATGGCCTACCTCATTATCCCAGAATCTACTATTCTTCCATTTCTTTATCCTCCTAACAATACAAGAGATCGATG